GCCTGGGTTCGCTCCGACGTGTTCATCAACTGTCAGCTCTCTTCCCCTGGTAATTTCCAGTCACTAACTTGAGTGTCCTGTTACATATTTGAGATTTGTAGAGAGGCGTGCGCAAAAAACATGGTAGCAAATAGTTTATTAATTTCAATCTTTAGCTTTATACAACTTGATCCTCTGACTTCCGTTCTACAAACTTTCCACACGTCCTTACTCTGGAGTGGAAGATCCAGACCCTTGCGTGCCGGCGAAGGCCGCGGCAGCATTCCCAGCAGCCTGAAATCCTGCAACTGCTACGTCGTGCTTGTTGGTACCAGAACCAGAGCTCTCATTACTCTTGGGCTCCTCTGTAGTCTTGTGCTCCTCCTTGTGCTCCTCCTTGTGCTCCTCCTTGTGCTCCTCCTTGTCCTCAGCAGGTTCACCCCCCTTTTTCTTCTTGTTCTTCCTCCTTTTACTGAGCGATACTAGGGTCAAAAGGAGGATAGTAAGCAAATCGTTGTTGATTGCTGCGTCTAAATTGAAAGTAAAAACTTACTGGAATCATGGTGGTCAAGATCGCGCGAATCTAAAAGAGAACGACTTGAGACAGTGTCCGCAACTGTTCCCACCGCGGCGGCACCTTCAGCAGCTTTGTCTGCGTGGCCTAGGAATTTGGCTGCTTCTTTACCGATGGATCTACTGTCGAGTGCTGGAGCATGTGTAAGCCGCCTTCAGATTGGTGTACAGAAAGAGAGAGCAACATAACAGTAAGGACTCACGAGCGTTCTTTATAGTAACAGTAGCTTCCGTGGGTGCCGGAACGACATAACCTTCGTGAAATTCTGCACTAGCCCCAGTCGCTCGAATTCCGTTCCCCACATCACTTCGTCTCTGAGGTTCAGATACCGAAGCGCCTTGCATTTCCGCTCCAGCAACAGCCACCTTTCCGACAGTTTCGAGCCCAGAAACTGCCACGTCGTGCTTGTTAGTGTGACGTGGGACGGGGAAGTGACGTGAAAAATGTCTGGAGTAGACGCGTTCGTTCGAAGTTGAGAGGCTATGGAGGCAATTGGTATCATTACAGCTGCTCGTTCGAAGAGGAGTAAATCTTAGTACCTTAGAGCATCAACGGTGCTGACAGCAGTTAGCGCGATAATAGCAACAGCAAGGGTGGAGGAGAGTCTAGGCATGGTTGAAGTGAAGACGTGAGTCAAGCAAGAATGAGGATAAACAGGAAGTATGACACGAATGACCAGCACCGTGTAGTAGAGAATGGAGAGTTAGACCAGCTGAACTTGGGGATCTTGCACTTGGTCCTCGAGTGCTTTTAAAGTATTTTCAGCGTTAAAATACAAGGGGGATACTGTGAATGGAATGGTCGGTCATACTGAATACAAATTCAAAAACTTTGATAAAAACCGGGAAGAGAAGGTGACTGAAACTCACTTGAATTTGAATTTTCCATTCAAAAAGAAAGTTCCGGTGTTACTCGACTCTGTGGACAATGAACAGCATCGGTAGCTGGATATCATTGATTGTAGAGGAACAGCTCGGTACTCGACTCCAAGACGAAGACCGGAATGTGGGTTCAACCTTTCTCGCTTGATTGGAATATACGCAGCCTACCACGGTAAATCGACGAGATCCAATGGACTGTAGTGAACAAATAAGCTTTAAAAATGCAATTACAGACTCCAGTTAATTGGTCTGCGGCAACGGTGAGGCTTGGTCTTGCTGATAGACTGTCAAGGAGACAACTGAAAGAAGGCTACCCATCACGTAGAACCCGCTTTGAGCTACAGCCACGGCATAATACGTTCCCCGGACGGACGGCGGGAAGAAAATCATCATCGACATGTCCAGAGATGCATAGCCAGAAGCCACAGGTGATACGACCGAACAGACCGGATAGTTCGGCCATGGGAGGAGTTTTTCAGAGCCATGAAACTAACCGTGTGCGCGAATACTCGTGGTTGTGGATCAAATAACAATTGCTATGCGCGACAACGGAGGTGGTTTTTCAAGTGTGATTCAGTGCAACTGGCCACATATATCCTAGTCCCTGCCATGATGTCTGTGAAGTGGAGCACTCGACGAGAATGATGCAGGCTCAGAAACCGTTACCTCGAAAATTTTGAAGATTGAAAGCGCTCACCAAAAACAAGGACCATCTATATAACTACATGCTGTCTCCGCAGATTGGTCTCAAGCATCAACACAAAGAGACAATTGAAACCTTTCCATAGCTTCAATGGAGCAATGCATTTGCCTGTAATATCAGTACAATTGTGAATAATTTACCATCCTATGATTTTAGATAGTGTGGTCATAAGGCAGAAGAAAAAAAAGTCCAGGAGTCCGGTCTAGATGCAGGACATAATTCCAGTCCAAATCGCAAGCTTCAAGTGAAAGTTCGCCTGTTAGACATCTTTGCCGGGTTCAATGCAACACCAATCATATGGTACGCCAACCGAAACCTCTCCCTCCTTTCGACAAACCAGCTACCAGCATCGGAGGGAACAGCGAGCGGCTGGGCAATAACGCCTAGCGTCCTCGCTTGCCTCACAGCACCAACAAGATCATCTACCTCGGCTTCCGAGTCCAAGTCATCGTAGTTCTCATTATCGGCATCATCAAGTGTATTAGCAGAGGCGGCGGCTGCCGCTGCCGCTGCCGCCTGGGCGCGTTTAGATGGTCCATGCTTAGACGAGGTGGAGATGACATGTCCGGTAGCTGCTGCACCAGCCTTCCTGCCCTCCTTACTACTCGGATCCAAACCAAGTTTGACCGCAGCCTCCTCAATAGCCCTCTTCCTCTCTGCCTTCTCCCGATCCTTCTTCTCCTTCTTCTCCTTCTTCGTCTCTCTCTTTACAGGCTCGACGAAATTCGGATTGTGCTCACGCTGCCAATCCAGCAGGAGATCGTCATAAGGTCTGCTTCGACCTTGAACAGCGCGTTTGGCACCCATCGCATGGGATTTACATGTCAGTGAGCGGGAACAGGGAAGACCTTTGTCGTTGATGACGCCACATTGCTTGTCATAGTCTACAGGACCTTTCATTCGACCTTTGGTGACCTTGGGCAGAGCAGATTTCTTCACTTTCTTCGAAGCTGGTTCACCAGGAAGTGAAGCAGATGAGGGCGAAGCTTTTCGTTTCTTCGCTTGGGCTATCATGGCAATGTTCCGGATTTGAGTGCAGTTGGCTAAAGTGGAAAATGCAACTCAGTCGTATTTATTGAAGGAAATAAAGGCGTGTAACGCACCTGCATGCTCAGTAGCAGCACTTTTCAATATCGGTTTATCGCAATCCTTGCACCTCACCACGCCGATTTCCGACGTGGATGATAGTGGTCGAGCACCAAATATTTTCATGTCCCGGGCTGGAAGCCAAACTGTAGTGGGTTCGGTGACGGCCGAGACTTCTGGTGGTGGCGGAGAAGGAGAGGGTAGATCATCCCAGGAGAATGGTTCTGTCAAAGGCGTCGACGCGCCTTTTAGCTTTAAAGGCATGTTCCTATAAGGAGAGAGGAGAACAGAGAGAAGCTGTGGGAATTGTTATATCAATTGACGCTGGCAGACGCTTATATTTGTACATTGCAACTTGCTCTCGTTATTCTTCAAACGCCCAGGCCGAGATTGCGATGTAAACAGAAAATGTCAATATTTTTCTAAGCAATACCGGAATAGAATTATACCATCGTTCAAACCAAGCCATGACTTCGCTCGACCTAGGAAACCTAACTAATAATCAATCCAAGTAGGACTCGAACTCTTCTGTCTCTGTACATATCATTCCAACAACCTATTATAGTAGTTCAACTATTTGTCTATTTTCTCCCCACAGACAATCCTATCCGAATTCTCTATATAATCGACGCTTTCGAACCCTGTACGGTGTGGTAAGTCATTCACTAGTATTTGGACAAGGGATTCGTCGGGTTTGCTGGGAATCATATACTCTATGTTCTGGCCAGTCACCTCTCCTCGAGTCCACCGACGTCGGGAGTTGGATTTGCGTGCTAGTGCAGGTGCTCTGGAGCTGTGGAATGATGGACACACGGGAATTAGTAAAAAATCCTTCGAGCAGAAATAGCTGCTGAAATACCTTGATTATCCTTATAAAGCTAATCAAAAATATCACATGACCGCCGATAAGCCATGTATGGAAGTCAGGTAATTTTCAGCAGCTATTTCTGCTCGAAGGATTTTTTACTAATTCCCGTGTGGGATTTGGATGGAGTGGTTGATCCGTGGGATTGTATTACCTGGACTTCTTTTTTTCTACGCTAACGCGTGTGTTCCGCGTGCATTATAATTACACGCGTACCACCTCGCTGTCACCATGAGCCACATGCACCTCAAAACTACTCTCGACTCAAATGAGGACACAAACACAATCTATTCATGATGCCTAACAACTGTGACATTGCGCCCTATCGAATAAACCGCACTCGCCCTCTCCTTGACCAAACCACCCCGGAACCACTTTCCTTGACTAGGGGATTCCAAGACGTAATATCGTTGACCTGGTTTAATTGATTTTTCTCATAACCTCCTCCTTATCGATTCAGACATGATAGTGAGGAGGTTCAAATGCATCGTTTGATGCATCTGATTGAAAAATGAGTTTGATAAGTTATACACCATCAAAGCTAGTACGACAGGAAAAACACATACAACACCGAGCTTGCTCCAAAAACTCGATACCGAATTTGGATCCTTCCAATGGAAAGGACCTAAATTTGGCATCTACGGTAAGTTGACCAACCTAGCACTCTTGTGATAGGAAGCTGAAACTACCGCAACCGCAGACAGATTCCATGAGCCAGAGTAACCTCTTGTATAAGATAAAGAACAAGAGATGAGCAAATGCCTTGAAGACTGGAAAAAAAAGACGTACCGGGGGTGTTAACGACTGTTATCGTGGTTGACTCCCAAGAAGCAAATAAACTTGAAGGGCATCTTTATAAGGATCCGATAAGAGCATTAGGTAATCACCAATTCAATTGTGACAAACAAAAAAAGGTCCAACCAGGACTCGAACCTGGGTTATGGGAAATCAGCTATCAGAATCCCATGTGATAACCTCTACACTACTGGACCACATAAAAGCAAAATTTCAGATTTGCTATAGTATTAATCCAAGCATTTACCGAAATCAAGCCCTCAATCTCTCGCTTCCTCTTCCACACCCACAATGTCCGACAACGAATCACCGCCACGACGAAAGCTATACGACGACGAAGAAGACGAAGAAGAAGAGGACAGCGAGGGAAGTGAAGATGTCGAAAACGAAGGCAGTCGAAAAAAACCTAAACGTGTAAAACAACGACAGAAGCGAGACGCGTTGAGTCGATTCCTCGATATTGAAGCTGAAGTATCAGACGAGGAAGAAGAAGATGAGGACTTGTCCTCTGAAGGCGAAGCAGGGTTCATTACCAAAGAAGGTGCGCTCCCTGAAGACGAAGACGAGGACGACCTCTCTGGGCGACACCACGCCCGAGTCGACAAACGTCGTCAGGCAGAAGAATATCGTGCAGAGAAATCCGCAGAAGAGATCGCTCGGGAGCTGGCAGATAGATATGGACGAGGGGGAGGAGGTCATCGTCGGTTCACAGGCGAGATGAGTGAGATTCCTCAGAGGTTATTGATGCCTTCCGTGCACGATGCGTCCTTGTGGCAAGTCCGAGTAAAACCAGGTCGGGAACGAGAGATTGTGTTTTCTCTGATGCGGAAATCATTGGATTTGGAGTATACGAATAAACCAGTCTCGATTCTCTCTGCTTTCCAGCGGGACTCTTTGCCTGGCATGATCTACGTCGAGGCTAGGTCTGCACAGCAAGTTAGCCAGGCGTGCAACGGACTTGTCGGTGTATATCCTTCAAGAGGAATTCATCTAGTTCCAATAGACGAAATGGCTTTGCTGTTGATGATTAAAAAGGTTGATGGAGGTGACAAAATCGTTCCAGGTACTTGGGTCAGGTTGAAGAGAGGTAAATATGCAGGTGATCTAGCCCAGGTCGTCGACGTTACCGAGAACGGTGAAGAAGTAGGGGTACGGTTTGTGCCTAGAATCGACTTGAACCCTAGAGAAGACGATGGAGGAGGTCGAAAGCGCAAGAAGAATCCTGCCCCGAACACCACCAATCCTTCCTCTTCATCTTCTTCTAGACCCCCCCAACGGCTATTCAATTTCGAAGAGGTAATCAAAGTCTATGGCCGAAACGCTGTCTCCAAACGAGGCCAAGTCTTTGTCTTTCTCGGTGACACCTACAAAGACGGGTTTGTCGAAAAAGACATCAAACTAAACTCTATCATCCTCGAGGACGTCAATCCTACTCTGGACGAGATCACCATGTTCTCCGCGAACAACACCAACCTCGAGGAAACCATGGTCGACCTCTCCATCATCGCCGAAGCTTCTCGAAAAGCTGCCTTGGCCGTTCTCCAGCCAGGAGACCACGTCGAAGTCTTCCAAGGCGAACAAGCTGGTTTGCACGGTACCGTTCAAGAAATTCACGGCGACACTCTCACCATCATCGCTCTCGATCCTGCCTTGCACTCTCAGAAAATTGACCTTCCCGCTCGTTCTGTCAGGAAACGGTTCAAACCAGGCGACCACGTAAAAGTCATGCAAGGTAAGAACACTGGAGAGACCGGTCTCGTCGTATCTGTCGCCGATACAAATAATTCAAGGACGATGAACGAAAACACGATCGTCACTTTTATTTCTGACATGTCCATGCAGGAAATCTCTGTCTTTTCGAAAGACCTTAGAGAAGCTGCAGAGGTGGGGAACACTACAAACATCGTAGGTGAATACGAACTACACGACCTCGTCCAACTCGAGTACGTTCTTTTCCCTACAATCTCATTCTCTCTAATCTTCTTTCAGCCTCCAAACCGTCGGCGTAATCTACAAAACCCATCAATCCTCCTTCCTCATCCTCACCCAACACTCTCAATCCCGTCTCGTCCACCCCCACCAAATCTCCCTCAAAAAAGACAAATCAGACTCTCTCCGCTCAATCGCAACAGACTCTCATGGATTTGAGATCCGGGTAGGGGATATGATGAAGGAGTCAGAAGGCGAACAACGAAAAGGCCGTGTACTGCATATCCACCAATCCCATTTTGCGTTTCTTTTCAATAGGGATATTGCTGAGAACGGTGGAGTGTTTGTGACGAGGGCGAGGGGTTTGGTTTCTATTACGCCTAAAGGAGCTTTGGGGGCAGGAAAACTCCCTCCTGGAGCTGACCTGACGAAGATGAACCCAGCCGCCGCTGGAGGCGCACAGGGTCTTGGACCTAATCCCTCTGGAGCAGCCTCGGGTGGAGGCGGACTTGTAGGCTCTGCAATCGGTCGAGGCCCAAGAGACCGCCTCATCGGCGCACACGTCGTCGTCATCAAAGGCCCACACAAAGGCTACGTAGGCATCGTCAAAGACACCAACGGAGTCGGTCTCACCGCTCTCGCCAGAGTAGAACTCAACACAGGGAATAAGATTATAAGTATCGAAAAAGGGAAATTGCACAAAAAGCTGTCAGTTTCTTTCTCCCTCCTCACATTTCTCGATTTTGATTCACCACTTTTTGGTTCATTCCTCTACCATAGACCAAACGGAACAACTGAACCAGTCGAAGGACCAGGTGCGAACTGGCGTCGTCAACCTACCAACTCTAATAACTCCAATCCGTACTCTTCGATGGGTCCCCCTTCCTCCTTTCCCTCCTCTGGTAACCGTACGCCCAGCTGGGGAAACAACAACGGCAGTGGAGGTCGAACTCCCGGCTGGGGAAGCAACACCGGAGGTCGTACCCCATTCGGTGCAGGCGGTCGTACTCCTTTCGGTGCAGGTGCAGGCAGCGGCGGAGCTCCAGGCGGTGGTGGACGCACACCCAACCCCTACGCTGCAGGCAACCAAACTCCAGCATGGAACACTGGGAGCAAGACACCAAACCCATACGCCCATGGCAATGCTGGTGCTGGAAACCAAACTCCTGCTTGGAACGTCGGTAGTAAAACTCCTAATCCCTATACTCTCTCCTCTGGAGGAGGCTCGGGAGGAGGAGGTCAGACTCCGGCTTGGAACGTTGGAGGGAGGACACCGAATCCTTATACGAATAAAAACTCAACAAGTACTAACAATAGTAATAGCAATAGTAATTCTTGGGGTGGAGCTACACCAGGTCGTTGGGATAGCGATAGGAATGAAGATAACGATACTCACAAAGACGGAGGAGGGGGATGGGGATCCCCAATTCCCGCTGGAAGTGGCTCAGGCATTGGAGGATGGGGTGCTGATATTTCTTCTTCGAGTTCTTGGGTCAGTGTTCACTCTTTTCCCCCCGAAACCTCTCTAACCCTAATTACAGAATGCCCCAACACCTGCATTCGCCGCCCCCACACCATCTGGACTTGCCTACGCCCCCACACCAGCTATACCGTCCACACCAGGCTACGCTCACCTCACCTCATCCTCATCCTCATCACACACTGCCCCATACGCCGCTCCCACACCAGCACCAACATATTCAGACTACGAGTCAAACGCGGCTCCGACGCCAGGTATGATGCCTCCTGGGATGATGAGAGGGAGAGGTTACGAGGATGATACCGATATGAGGGATGAGTATCGTAAGTATAAACCCTTTCTTCTCTTCTCTTTCTCTTACTAACATTGCCAACAGAGCCCTCCCCAACCTGGCTCCTTGACCCCTCTCTCTCCCTGCACCTCTCTCTCCTCCACATCCACATCCTCGGGACCAAACTTGACAAGTACCTCGACGGTGCATATGAAGGTCTCCACGCCAGAGTCCTCGCTGCGTCCAGGGTGGGTGATAACTTTGAGCAGACGGCGTTAATCAAGATCCAGGGCCAGCCAGAGCCCTCTTCGGAACAAGATTCCCAATCTGAACGTTCATTCCCAATAAAATACCTCCTCCCTGTTGCTCCAGCCACCCAAGACGCTACCGCCGTTATCTTGTACGGGCCAAGGAAGGGGCAAAAGGTCAAGATGAGGCAGCGTCCGGACGAAGGCTCCAGGACGGAACTTGTCGTTGTTGAGAGTGTTGTGGACAGTGGTGGGGGCGGGGCGAGTAGCGAAGGTGGTAGTGAAGAAGGTGGTGGTGGTGGCGCGTTTTGGGAATGTCAGAAGGATTGGATGTGTGTTTGTTGGTAAGAGGTGTATATTATAATATAGCATTGTATTTTCTGCTTGCTGCTTCCTTTTGCTTATTCTTGAGATCATCACTCTTTTTTTGCGTCTTATTTTTTGCGGTTGCTACGCTGTTTATGAGGTATGAACTCTGTGAAACTATGAGCCATATTTTTTATAACCTCGCGTCGTCATTTAGTAGTCGTTCTCGTGGCCTGCCGTTCCATTTTTCAAATCCTTGTCATGGAACTATGAAAATACACTTTCAAAAATGACTTGGCTGCTATAAAATTTGCAGAATAGCTTGTGCATGGAGAACACTAAGGTTCCACTGTCTCACAGTTGATGTTGCACACACTATTGCAGCAAATAGGCTGTCAGACAACAGTGTGTACTCCCGGACAGTAATGCTGTTGCTATGCACTGTTGATT